TATATTAATGTGGAGGTATGTTAATTAATGTGGAGATATGTTAATTAATGTAGAGGTATGTTAATTAATGTGCAGATATGTACACTCATCCACCGGAAAAATCCGGCCCCAAAACCACCTACATTACTACTAATTTCAGTAAACTCAACCGCATTGAACGGAGGTCCATTATCGGTTATAAATTGTTCGAGATATCCATGTCGGGCAAATATTCTTTGCAATTTGGATATAACAACGGTGATTGTCGTGTTTTGCATAATTCAGCCAACTGGCGTCAATCATTACCAATATTTTCTTGCCATTTGGGAATGAACCACAGATGTCTGCATGAAGTGTGTGCCAAGGATGTGGAGGAAGCTTTGTTATATTCAGGGCGGTTGACATTCTGGTGATTGGTGTACTGCTGCTTGGCAGGGTATATATTCTTTAACCACTTGCTCGACTTCCCCTGATGTCCTTCGTGAGCAATAGAAAAAACACCAGTACGGAGACTCTTTGGGAATTGGGATGACACTCTGCGAATTCCGTTAACTGTTCGTGCTGATTACGATATGGACTTAAATTGCATGCTACCTGTTTTGTTCCGTTGTTCTGTCTTTACTGCATCAGTTACACTCTGCAGCTTAGGATAATTTAACTGACCTAGAGATACGAATCTCTTCGAACGTGATTTAAGCTTGGTGCACTAGGCACTAGCAATTCTGTCGGCGATTTTTATCTCCTGGCAAATGTGATCGAATGAATGACATGCAAAAAACTTAAAATTGTTTACTTCTGAAAAGCAATTCTATACTTTTGTGTGCAAGTTCGCTTCCGTCTGAAACACAAAATCGCCGACAAAATTGCTAGTGTGAAACAGGCGTTAGGAACCGAGTGACTTTCTATAAAATTGACATATTTACCGCTATGGTACTTGACTTATAATTGGTGAATAGAAACTGTCGAGACAACACATCAGCTGGGTTTCTGGTACCTGGTCGATACTTGATCGTAGTAACCATGCAGCGTGCTATCCGAAGTGGCGGTTTGGACTTTGGACTATAAATTATTTCTAATGATTTGTGGCCAGTGATGAGGTCGAATTGTGTTCCAACAAGATATAGATCAGTGGAAACGTTCACATCCCAACACCCCCAGCCCAGCCAACGCTTCTTTTTCAGTCTGTGAGTAACAAGTTTCAACAGCAGTTAAAGAGCGACTAGCATACGCTATACAGCAGTCTTGATTATTCTCTTGTGTTTGGCATAACACCGCACAAAGTCCAACAGGGCTTACATTATAACTGTCAACTCCATCGTATAGTCCAAAGCAATACCATTTTTAATTGTGGTGAAAGCTTCCTCGTGAGTAGTTGACAAAGACATTTGAAAGACTTGGTCGTTAATTCACGTAGAGGGGATATCATCCGCAATATTTCGTACCCCGTTTAAATCTTGCTGTATTGAATTTTGGTATATTTCTGAGGCACATGACACACCAAATGCATGGCAGCCCGACCTCTAAGACTAAGATTATCTGGTGGTATATTGCTTTAAGATCTAGCTTAGAAAACACGACAGCACCAGACATCTCTTCCATCAACTCATCTACTGTTGGGATTGGATGTCTCTTCCTTAACAATGCCTGATTTGGTCGACGGTAATCTCCGCATAATGTGATTTCGTCTGAATTGCGTGGTTTGGGGGCAGCTACTATGGGTGATACCCATGACAAAGGTCCTTCCGCTGGTTCAATAATATCGCAACTCTTCTAAATTATCTGAAACTTGTTTTCGTAAATAAAAAGGGATTCTCCGAGAGCGTTGTGCAGCAGGAGGTATACCGTAGGAACAACATGCAATGACTGTTCATAATCTTTCAGACACCCAATACCGTTAGTGAGCTCGGGAAATTTATCTATAATTTTCTGTGTGTTAATGTTTTTCGTCTTATTGATTTTGCCTGATTTGGTTTTTAAATCTAGCGTTTTCTTCTGTGTTTTCTCCTTCGCTTGAATTCAACGTTAAAATAACCTCGTCGCCAGAGATAATGTACTCTGACTCCCTAATGTTAAAATATATGTATTTGCCAAATATCAAATTCTTTTACTTGTATACTGCTAAACTCATGGTTATGAAATAAGGTGAAAGTTAAGTCGAAATTTTATTTTAAAGTTAACGCCGCTGTTGGTTACTTCGGTAAATTAGTAGCTGGCTAGGTAGACTTCTGAGAGTTTTTATTTTTTCCGGTCTATAGCAAGACTGTCGAACGTTTATAAATATGTTCGTTTATTAATTGATATCTTCACTTCGACATCTCGACTATCACACTGATAAGTTTATATATGTAAGGAAACCGTATTGTTGAGCCTTCAGTACATAATTACTGAGCCCGCTATATAACTGTTCGCCTACATCCTTCGTTGTTAGATAAATTAATGTCATAGGAGTTAACGTTCATACTAATATGTATATATATATATATATATATATATATATATATATATATATATATATATATATATATATATATATATATATATATATATATATATATATATAATGTATAATAACTATTAATAATATAATGTTCTGATATTAACAAACCTCTAATGTTCTGGACTACTATTTTAAATAAATAAATATGTTCTATAATGTTAATTAAATGTTTCTTTAATGTTCACACTACATAATCTTGGTATCTTCTATTTGGTTTGGAAACTCTTCCGGATCTTGTTACAACTTGACCTGGTGGTAATATGGGTGTTGGGATTGATACTGCTTGTTGTGGAACTTCGTAGTTTTCATTGGGAACCGTATTAACTGTAGGGTGGTTTGATACTGGTTGTGGAGAACTCTCAAATGGTGTGCTTCCATCTGGTTCGTCAGGTTCTTCTTTGATATGATAATATGGTTCTGGTACAGCAAGCAAATGTCTTCGATTTCTTCTATACGCTTTTCCATTTGCTTCGACGATGTACGACCGTGGTTCCTTTGCTACTTGCTTAACTACGCCAATCCTATCATATCCTTTCGCCGTTTGCATTCTAACAATTTGATTCGCTTTCAAAGTTCCAAGTGTCTTTGCACTTTTGTCGTAATAGGTCTTCTGTTGCTTTCGTTTCCTACGTATCCTTTGTGACACTTATTTGCATGGAATGACGTTTGGTTTAAGAAGCTTATTTGACATCGGAGGAACTGTTCGAGTTCTTCTCGACATAAGGCGCTGTGTAGGTGAACCAAGACTATCATCCCTAGGCGTGTTTCTTAGGTTTAACAACCCAAGCATAGGATCAGATCCATCCCTCTTAGATTTTTCTAATAGCTTCTTGGCTTGTTTAACTGCATTCTCTGCAAGACCATTTGATTGAGGATAGGTTGGGCTACTGGTCACTTGCTTAAAACTCCAATCTTTCGCAAATAACTTGAATTCTTCACTCACAAACTGGGTGCCATTGTCAGTCATCAGCAATTCTGGAACACCTTGAACCGCAAAATGGCGTTTCATTTTCATTATTACGGTCTTAGACAACATGTTCCGTAGGGTGTCAATTTCAAACCATCCGGAGTACGCATCGACAATTACTAGATATTTCAAATCATTCCATTCAAAAATGTCCGCGCTTACTTGTGTCCATGGCAACTTCGGTGTTGGATGACTTTTCATGGGCTCTTTGGTTTGGTGTGGGTTGGTACTATTGCACGGTTTGCACGAAGATATTACATACTCGATATCTTTCGTCATCGTTGGCCAATATACCACATCTCTTGCTCTTCTCTTTGTTGCCTCTACTCCAGGGTGTCCTCTATGTAACTGTTCGATATACACACGACGCAGACTTTCTGGGACGACCACTCTTTGGCTCTTTAGAATTACACCGTTATCGATCACCAACTCATCTCTTACTGAAAAATATTCCGCTAGTTCACGCGGTACTTCTCGGTACTTCGCAGGCCAACCGCTTCGAATGACTTGAACTAATTTCTGCATGGTCGGATCTGTAGAGGTAATTTTCCTTAACTCTTCCATTCTTGTAGGTGATATGGATTCAACCGACATAACTTCAAACTCGTCGTAGTTTTCTTGATCGGGTTTCTCATTAATATAGGCACGTGATAGGGTATCTGCCACGAATAGATCACTTCCTCTCTTCTAGACAAATTCCAGGTCATATCGCTGAAGTTGCAGAAGCATCCGTTGGAGTCGTGCTGGAGCTACGTGTAAAGGTTTCTTCACGATCGCGATGAGGGGTTTATGATCAGTTTCTATCACAACTTTGTTGCCATACGTGAAATCATAAAACTTTGTGCAGGCGAAAACTGCAGCCAACAATTCTTTCTCGATTTGTGCGTACCTACTTTCCGTTTCGGTCATCACACGAGAAGCATACGCCACTGGAGAACCGTTTTGAAGACAGACTGCTCCTAAACCACTCTTGGAAGCATCGACGGATAAGACAACTTGTCTCGCAGGATTGAAGAACTTTAGCACTGGAGGGTTGCTGATTTCTTTCTTGAGCTTCTCGAAAGTCACTTGATAATGTACATCCCAGGACCACTTTGTGTCTTTGTTCAGCAACTGGCGGAGTAGAGCCGTTTTTTCACTGAAATTATCGATGAATTTATGCAGGTAATTCACCATTCCAAGAAATCTTTGTAAAGCCTTTGGACCATCAGGAGCTGGCATTTCTTTGATTGCTTTTATCTTGTCTTCTTCTGGCTTGAGACCATCTTTGGTGAACTGGTGCCCAACGTATGAAACACTTTCGAGTCGGAACTTGCACTTCTTTGTACTTATCTTGAAGTTAACTTCCTTTGCTCTCTGCAATACTTTCTCGAGATTATAATCGTGCTCAGCAATGTCACGTCCCCAAACTAGTATGTCGTCAACAATGCTCTCACAAGGGTAGCCGGTGAACAACTGTTCCATTGTTCTTTGAAATACTTCTGATGCTGTATTTATACCAAACGGCATTCGCAGATATCGAAATCTTCCAAATGGTGTACCAAATGTGGTCAGCATCGATGACTTCTCGTCTAGCGTAATCTGCCAAAATCCAGATTTTGCATCTAAGGTAGAAAACACTGTGGCACCTGGTATACGAGCAGCAACACTTTCGACTGTTCTCATTGGATAATGAGATCTCTTCAAAGCTAGATTCAGGTTTCGTGGATCTAGACAAATGCGCGTTTCGCCATTTTTCTTTCGTGTAGTCACCATCTGCGATACCCACTCAGTTGGCTCCGGGACTGGGGCGATTACCTTCTTCTCCACCATGTTGTCAAGCTCTTTTTTCACATTTTTTCCCATTGCGATTGGTATTTTGCGTGGTGGGTTTATTACGGGTGTTACGTTGCTGTCAACTTTCATGGAGTAAACGACTGGTAATTCCCCAAGGTTGTCATCGAAAAGATCTTTGTGCTTCTCCGCCACCTGTGGACCTTCGATTGTCTCAATAATGTATAGTTCTTTATCCCTTCCTTCGGGGGAATACTTAGGTGCTAATATTTCATCAACGCGAGGCTTTCTATGCGACCCGGACGCTTTTGAAATTTTCATAGGACCTTTTTGGTAAAATTTTGCAGAATAACACACTTTTTTGAAATGGTTTGACTTCCCGCAACCATGACACTGTTTTCCAAATGCAGGACATGCTTGTTTATCTGCTCTATGCTCGCCCCGCAACTTTTGCAACTTAGTATGGTTGATTGCTTTCTTAATGGCTTTTTGGGTTTAATGACTCGCGTTTTGAAAGTTGTTTACCGTAATCTTCTGATAATTCGTTTAACTGACAAATTTGAACCGCTTTATCTAGTGCGAGTGCTCTTTCTTTTAGTAACTGCTTTCGAACCCTGTCCGATATAATACCAGGCACACACTATTTTGTCACGAATAAATTCATCTTTCATTGTGCCGTATTCACATGTATCGGCTAATATACGGAGATCAGAAACATAAGATTGAATAGACTCACCATCTCTCTGGTTTCTTACGTTAAACTTGTGTCTTTCCATGATTACATTCCCCTGCGGATTGCAGATTTCTTTAAATTTTCGTTTGAGGACTTCAATGCTTTCTTTCGTCTCTGCCGGTGTGATTATTTCATTTGCTTCATTGCGTACAGCCGGTGAATACACGAACGACCTTTCCTTTTCAATCGCTTCTCTCCCAGCAATATTAAGCATGATGTACGCCTTCGTCTTTTCCGTTTTGTCATGATGAGCTGCTGCCAAGAATATACCCAATTCTAGCTCAAACCGACGCTAATTTTCTGCCACGTTTCCCTCGAAGCTCAATGGTTCTGGTTTTCTAAACGAGTTTGCCATTTCGTCGCGTTTCTAGCTATAAGCTCTTTTCGGAGATAGATATCAATGTTAAAGGATTTAGGTGGAAAATCCCACACCTGACACCATGTCGAACGTTTATAAATATGGTCGTTTATTAATTGATATCTTCACTTCGACACCTCGACTATCACACTGATGAATAAATATAATCTAGTTTATATATAAAGTTTGTTCGTTCACTGCAACCAGGTATATCAATCATGTTTCGCTCGCTACTCTGGTTTAAATCATTTATTTAAACCAGAGTAGCGAGCGAAACATGATAGTTCATATATGTAAGGAAACCGT